TAAAAATATTTTTATTTTTTAGTTGTTTTTTTAGGTCGACACAATATTTTTATTTTATTTTTAGGTGGTGCTAACGATCGAACCCAGTGCCTCATGCATGCTAGGTGAGCACACTATCACTAAGCCTCAACCCCAGCCCTTAAAAATATTTTTGGTTGAAGATGGTCACAATATTTTTACTTATTAATTGAATTTTATGTGGTGCTGAGGATCAAACACAGTTCCTCAATCAGGCTAGGCAAGTGCTTCACCACTGAGCTACAACCCCAATGTAAAGGTCCATTTGTATTTGTTCCTTTAACTATTAAGCCAGCTAAGAACTAGACAGGTTCTATTGTTCCTACAGCATCTGCAGTAACAGAAAGGACTTGTTAGCAGAAACCAAGCAATGGGCACCTCCCAAAAAAACAGTTAGTGCTTCTCTTTTTCCTACACACCCATCTGTTCTTTTTCATCCTTCTCTCCTTTATGACTTATAATTCTTACCTCTTGCTAAAACAATTCATCCTGTCCCCCTTTGTTTTTTCCTGGCTTGTCACTTTTCTATGATGGTAGGCTGCCAGAGCATACTCCAACCTACCTCTCCTCTCCCAGCAGTTCTGCAACAAAGGATCTGCAACAAAGGAGCAAGATGCTCCTAAGGCTCAGGGTGAGTCATCTTTTTTGCTTTAAGCTCCATCATCTTGTGCTCCCCTATTTTCCTTTCTACTTTCTATTAAACTCATTAACAATTATGGGATATAGTCTTTAAACTCAGTAACAATTAAGGATTATATTCTTTGTGGCTCCAGAAGTCAGTAATTCATAAATAGCAAAGGACACATTTAGATCGGAAACTTTGGTGTTATATCTGAAAACATAGTTTGGAAATACCTGTCAGGGAGGAACCATATAATTTGTTTACTTCATCACCTGCTTATAGTCCTGTTCAACCCACAAACTCCTATCCTTACTATCTCCCACCTTCATATTTAACCTTTCTGTCCATATTTTCTTCTTATCCCAGTCTTGATTGTTCCTATACTCACTCCTTACTTTTGAGGAAGCAAGAGAGATGGTCTTCAAAAATAAGGCAAAAATTACTTTATATCAACATAACCATTGAAAATGCCTTACATCTCACAGAACATACAACTCCACACAGTAATCACAGTACCTACAAAAACCATTTATCTGACAGGATGATGCCATTAAACCCTTAAGAATTTAGAATAGAGCAACTAATAATTCACAAAGATGACAATGGTTTAATCCCTTGCCTTTCTTCTTCCTTGAGTCAAAAAAATTCCAGAAAGATAATGTGCATGATAAAATTACATACACACACACACACACACACACACACAAAAGCATGCACACTCCAAGACAGACACATAGATCCTTGGTTCAGGTGCCTGACATCATGACATACACAAGCTTTACTTCTCTACTTAAGAATCCTAGCTATATGCTGATAGATTCAAAAATTAAAAACTATAATCAAACACTACTTTGTCACCTTTGCTAAAACATTAAAGGAGTAATAGAATATTTTATATTAATTCTTTAACTCACATGCCAAGTGCTAGCAATAAGAGTAATAATAATATCTATTAATTATTGAATACTTCCTACCTGTGGGCCCCTTGCTTTGTCTGTCTGTCTGTCTGTCTGTCTGTCTGTCTGTCTGTCTCTCTCTCTCTCTCTCTCTCACATACACACACACACACAATCTCACAGCTGAGGAAACTGAGGGAAAGTGAAGACAGAAAACTCTGCTTTTGCTCCAGGTTACACATGAAACTGTAGCAGAGCTGGGATTAGAAGGCCAATTTGCCTTTAAAGTTGTGCCACACCCTATGGCCACATTCTATGGCCTCACAATTAAAAGGCCATTTTCTCACTGAAATGGTTTGAAGTGAAACTTGGAAGATTTTATTTTTAATTATTAGCTGAAAAAAATTCGGGAATTAGTGGTCTTAACAAATAGTTTGACAACCACCTCCTAGTGTCAACCACCAGACTCTGGACAGATTTCCTCTAGAAATAAATTACTAGTATGGGCATAATATGCCCACCATGACCATAGTTAGGGACCCAAAAGTGTTCTGTGTCCCTACTTTTTATATGTGTGTATATTTGTGTGTGTGTGTGTGTGTGTGTGTGTGTGTGTGTGTGTATGTATTCTCCCCACCCCCCAGGGATTGAACCCAGGGGGAATTAACCACTTAGCCACATCTCCAGCCCTTTTTATTTTTTATTTTGAGACAGGATCTTGCTAAATTGCTTAGAGCCTCACTAAATTGCTGAGGCTGGCTTCAAACTTGCAATTCTCCTGTCTCAGCCTACTGAGCTGCGGGGATTACAGGTGTGTGTCACAGCTCCCAGACCTATTAATATATTTAGTGCTATTTTAAGAGTACAAAATCAGGGTTGGGGATGTAGTTTAGTGGAGAGTGCTTGTATACCAGGTATGAGAGCTTGAGTTCAATACTCAGCACACCAAAAACAAAATAAAACAAAAAAACCTAAAATCCCACTTTTAAAAATTCCAAAGTAGAACAGTAATATGTCAAAACCAAACACTCAGAAACTATTCTTAAACAAAAATTAGCAAACATTCCCTAGTGTGCTCTCCTACATTCACTTCACTCCCATCAGGTCAGATTCTTAAGAAAACAGGATCCTAAAATGACTACTACTGATTATATTCTTAAGTGTAGTTCATCTTTCATGACAGTAAAGTTCTATTATCTAACCAGTAAATTTTATAGGAAATTCAGTGTTTTAGAGTCACTTCAGATAATACTTTTGTAAGATAGAGAAAATAAAATTAAATCTATACAAAAAGTAGACTGTTTATACTAATAAGATGTACCATATTTTTTTAGCGCGTTATCTTTCCAGTCCATTCTAAAGTGACAGCTTTAAACTAAATTCAACAAACACTTGTTAAGTCATACATGGTGTACTGTGAAAGGTACAAAGATGTAAAAAAATACTATATACCCTTGAAGAATTTATAATTTAATGAGATACATTAGACATCTACATAAAAATCCTCTATATACAATGCTTTTCTTCATCTAACATGAACAAAAAGATGTTGAAAAAGTTAGAGGAAAGATTTCCAAGACCCAAAAGTGAATAAAACAGGTCTTGTTTATTGTGCCAAATAATCAAAGAACCCTATTTACTTTTTTCTCTGTTATGAAGGCCTTGGCAATCACCATTACTTTGGTTTCCTTAAGTCTCTTACCTTAGTTTATTTTTTGTTCTCTGCTCATGTAATAAGATACATCTTTTGGGGATTTCCTGTTCTGCTTTTAGTTTTTTTCTGCTGCTATTGCTGGGGGCCCATGTCTTACCCTCCTATTGCAGTAAACTTTGTGTTTGCTGGAGAGACCCTCCACAGTTTCTTCTTTGTGTTTTCCTGGAGATCTGGAAACAATCACTCAGTAGATCTGTGAGCCATGAGCATGGCTCTGAAACGCTGGAACCTAACTATTAAAAAATAATCACCTTGGGGCTGGGGCTGTGGCTCAGTGATAGAGCGCTCATCTCACACGTGCAAGGCCCTGGGTTCGATTCTCAGAACCACATATAAATAAATAAATAAAATAAAGTTAAAAAAATAATCAACTTCAGCAAGTCTACCTTCAGAAGTCTTATCAGGAAGGTAAGACAATAGCCATTACAATAACTCTCTATGATTCCAACTCCTTGCTTCTCATTGCTATCAACTATGGCTACAGGTAATAGTAGTGAGATGGACTTGAGAATAAAACAGAAGAAACAATGCTAAAAATATGGTAAATTTTGATATAATGGATAGTGCTGGCCACAGATGATTACTAGAGATTAACACTGGTTAAAAATCATCAATATCATGCACCTGCTGAAATGAAGGCCAGGGGCTTCTCCAATGTCAAAATCCTTATGAGCAACACTACAGAAACACTTTTTTCTAGAGTTTATTTTTATCTCTGAGACTTAAAAATTGCTCTTATTTTCATACTCTAAATTTTGGTATACGCTACCAGCATTGTAAAACCAATTAACATTGTATATGTATTAGTTTCCTCCCGGGATAAAAACTCAATATAAGAGGGGCTACAGAGTAATCAAAGGCCATAGGACCAGATTAATCATAAACCCGCCAACTGAACCTGAATTTTCTTCAAACACTTCCTGCCTTTTGTTTCAAACTGCAGTACACCTCCAAGGTTAACTGCAGTCTCCCTGAGCAACAGACCAACCCACCCCAAACTGGGAGATACTGATCCGTAGTGGAATGTTATTTACTTATCTATACTGTTTCACTTAAAAATAGGCTGTTATTCATTGACTGTCAAACAATATACACTGCATTCCTACCCACACAAGGCCAACTCTGCAGATACCCAACACACCCACCTCACTGTGAAATGTAAGAGGATGGTTTTTCATCAAGTTTCCAGGGAAGAAATCGAGTGGAAAGCAAAAATGAAAACCAACTCAAACCTAAAAATCCCTTAAAAGCTGGGTTCTCCCCAAAGTAATAGAGAGTAAAGGGAAGGTACAAAGGGGGAAGAACAGGAGGTACTTTACTATTCCCCTCCTTCTTCCAGAGTCTTAAAAAAAAGTCTCAAAGATGGGCAGCTCTGCATTCTCTGCAGTAGACCAGACCATCCCAGGGGCTGCAGGAGGAAAGGCAAGCATCAGAAAATGGGGGATGGGAACAATTTAAGAGGGGAAAGGCCGCTTCGTCTGTGAGGCTGGCTGTCTAGGTCGTCGTCTTTGATGTGTGCTTCGCCCCATCCCTCTTCTTTCGGAAAATACTGATATTATCCTACGATGAAAACTAGCACCGGTTCTACCCTTGCGAGCAGGGACAGGTGGAAGGAGGGATGCCTGGCCTCCTGGGGGGTACAAAATGGGGCTGGGGGAGCAGCCTAGAGAATGGGAATCTGTGAGTCCTCCGCCAAGGCTGATGCGCGCGGGGCGAGAAGGGGCTTTAAACGAGGGGTGTCAAGGGGGAAGCCCCTTCTGTGGAGGTGGAAACTGACCAAGGACAATAAGTCCTGCGAGGACCCTCGATGGATGAGGAGCCGCCTCCTCAGGGAATACCGAGAGGTGGAGGGGACGGCCCCGCCCCCTCAGGGGACGGGCCGCGGCAGTTGGGGCCGTGGCGAGAGGCCACCAGGGCGTCTATCCTTGCTCTTCTCCAGAGAACCCGGCCTCCCAGCCACCGCCAAGCCCAAGCACCAGCAGCTCCTACCTTTCCGCGGCGCCGGGGGATCCACTCCCAGCCGCCTCCGCCACCGGCTCCCCATCCACAGCCTTCCGAAGCCCCGCCCCTTCAACCGCCGGCCGGGCTACTGGCGTTCACCGGGACCAATCGCCGTCTCGCCTCTACAACGCTAGTCCCAATCCGCGCTGGCCGGAGGAGGGGCTTCTCCAATGTCATTCAAGCTCCTCCCGGGGCCCCAAGATCCCTTTTGTTTGGGGAGAGCCAAACTGGGATTGAGCTCGCGTCACTTCCGGGAGGAAGCGATCTCCTCCGGCCGGGGCTGGAGGGTGGGCTCGAGGGTGGGCTCGCGCCCTTCCCGGGCCGGGTTCTGCAACTTTCAACGTTCCGTGCGGTTACTGGGCTGAGCCGTGGCGAGGGTCTCGTGTTTTACCCCGATTGTATGGTATGGGAAGTTTAGGAATGGCGGGCTTCTGGTGAAAGGGATTTTATCCAAAATGTTAGTAAATGAAGTGTTTTGGTGTCTATTTTAGAATTAGTTATTGAAAAACCTAGTAACGTGGCTTCTCTGCTCCCTCCTTTTTTTCCTGGACCCGCCTGTGGGTGTGGTGCTAGAAGCTAGGGCTCAAAGATGAAGCACCCAAAGACCACCCTTCTATTTTCACGATTGAAGCAGAATAGGATTCTGTCTCTGGAACCCCGGGGGCGGAGAAAGAGAAACCCGATTCCACCGAGGGAACATCAACCCGGCTGACCTGCCTTCTAAGCAGAAGTCAAATAATTTCAAATTTGTGTTTGGTTTTTCCACACTATCCTTGCCAGTCGAGGGGACTTTCCTGTGTTCTAGGCTCCATTTTACTGTGGGGTAATGGCGTTTGTAAACAAGCTGAAACAAAGAACGTTCGGATGCAATGAATGAATGAACGTCCTCCTTGTGAAGAGATAAACAGATCTTGGTGATAGCAAGACCTACATAAGACCAGATAACTGAGGGAAAAGGATGCTTCCTTAATTGCGCCCTTACCTGTGGTCAAAATTTCTGGTTTTCTTTTCCATAGGCTGCACTTCAGCTTACAAATTGATACAGCTGGCAAAATTAATAAAATTACGTTATTTTAAATACTTCCAAGACAAATATTTATAATGCACAAATAATGTACTACTTTATCATTCTAATTTTAGTATATTTAGTGCTGAAGCAAGCACAAATGTGCTACTTTAAATACATTATTCCTAATCTTTTATTTTTTATTTTTTTTATTGTTGGTCGTTCAAAACATTACATCTTTCTTGATATATCATATTTCACAGTTTGATTCAAAAGGGTTATGAACTCCCATTTTTACCCCATATACAGATTGCTGAATCACATCAGTTACATCAATTACATTTCCATTGATTTACATATTGCCATACTTGTGTCTGATGAATTCTGCTCTCTATCCTATCCTCTACTATCCCCCCTCCCCTCTCCTCTTCTCTCTCAACCCCCTCTACTGTAAAACATTTCTTCCACTTGTATTATTCTTCCCTTACCCCTCACTTCCTCTTGTATGTAATTTTGTATAACCGTATCACCTTCCCTTTCCATGCAATTTCCCTTCTCTCTCCTTTTCCCTCCCCCCTCTCGTCCCTATTTAATGTTAATCTTCTTCTCCTGCTCTTCCTCCCTACTCTGTCCTTAGTTACTCCCCTTATATCAAAGAAGTCATTTGGCATTTGTTTTTTAAGGATTGGCTAGCTTCACTTAGCATAATCTGCTCTAATGCCATCCATTTCCCTCCAAATCATTATTCCTAATCTTGACAATTATTTTAGCAAGACAATATTAGGAATCTAGTACTCAACCTAAGCAAGCACAACACTCAGGGCCGAAGCAGCCTGCCTTCATGCAGTTTTCAGTGTGGTGGAGGGATATGGTCAGTAGTTTGAAGGAAGTAAACAAATATTTATTATGTCATCATTGTGCTATGTTCCTTCATATAATGATATTTAATCTAAAGTATGAGAAATCAGTCCCACTCTGCAAGATATCATTGTGTCCAATTTGCAGATGGGAAGAATGAGATTCAGAGAAATCAATTAAGGTGGTAGAGCTAGTAAATGGAAATGGACGGACTTCAAATAGGGACTTGTAACTCCAAACCTGTGCCATATTCTGCTCACCATAGACTGGTTCTCCTGAGAACTAATCCAGCCAATGGGCTTGGATGATTTTAAAACCAACATTAGAGCCAGAAAAACAGCTGCATGCCTCCCTCTATTGATTGTAGGCTGAAGAGGGTCATTCCTACAACTGTAGATGAAGTACAGAAAGGTTTGTCAAGGTGCTCCACAGCAGCCCAAGTGCTTTTGGAGTAATAATGTAGGACACAGAACTTGAGAAAGATGTCTGAAAGATAAGATGAAGGGCCAGGCTTATAATAGGTGCTTATTAAATACTGACTTGACCTAAAATGTCTGAAATGGTTAAAAACAAAGTATTAGGTGTTGGAATAGGCCCACAAACTTGAAAAATCCCATTTCCTCCTCCTCCCTTTTGCTTTGCCTATGGGTGTGCAATGAGGAAGTACCTCATCGCTTGGCAATGAGGCAGATGTGGGACAACAGGCTATTTTTCTGCAGGCTTCTGAGTCATTCTAAGAGTTGTCCTGGTAAATCAGTTCCTCGCTCCTCCCCCTCCCTTCCTTTGTAGTTATTAACCCACCACCACCCACTCTACTCCAAGGCCGACTTGGTGGGTGTAGTACCCTGTAATCTACTTCCTTTACAGCATTGGGCAGCTTCTCTGGTGCCCTGGGTTCACTTCTGTGCATTCATGAGTAAGTGTGGACCAAGTCAGCAAGGATGAGATCACCCTTGCCTTGTAAGGATTCAGAGTCCTGAGGGTATACAGATTGCTTTCCTTTTGTTACCCCTGGAGGTAGTGAACAGGCAGGGCTTGTGAATCTCATGTGACCTTCAAGCTATGGCAGTGTGAGCAAGTTCTAGAGTCTTATAATTCTTCAATATATAAAACTTGTAAATAAATTGAGAGTCTGGTTCAAAGGTGTACACAGAGATAGAGAATGGGTTTATAATAATATCTTAGATTTATATAACAATATAACATGTTTATATCTGTTATTTTATCAACTTGCCAGTAAGTATTTATTAAATGCCTATTGTGTGTCAGTAACAACTTTTATAAAAAGTGCTAAAAGATTATAGATTGGGTCAATTTTTTCTCCAAATAGGTAATCTTTCTAGATAGGTATTCTATAAATGCTTATTACTGGTTTAGGGAGGCAATGATAGAGTAAAGGGGGTTAGACTGGAATAAAAAAAATCAGTCACAAACTCTATTAGTTTTCTTGGGCTATCATAACAAATTACCACGAAGTGGGTGGCTTAAAACAACAGAATTTTATTCTTTGTCTGTAAGCTAGAGGTGGAAGATCAGGGTGTTGACAGGTTCGTTCCTTCTGGAGGTTCTGAAGAGGATCCATTTTATGTTCCTCTCCTAGCTTTTGGTCATTCCCTGCAGTCCTCGACACTCATTGACTATGGTTGCATCACCCCAATCTCTGTGTCCATCGTCACCTGGCCTTTCCCCCCTATGTCTCAGGGTTCTTGTATGACCTTTTGTCTTTTATAAAGACATCAGTCATATTGGATTTAGAACCCAATCTAATCCAGTGTGATCTCATCATTACAGCTGCAAAGACCCTATTTCTATATAGGTTCTCTTTCTGAGGTTCTTGCTCAACATGAATTTTGAGAGGCCACCATTCAACTCAGTATACAAACTTATTTGAAAAAGTAATCTCCCCGTTTTACCCTATATAACTTCATTCGTAAATGGCATGAAGTAATGGACTAATTCCTGAAGGTCATTTCAGTCTGATTGTAGTATAATTTAATATATGCTACATGCATTTATCAAGATATTGTCGTGTACCACTACTCAATGACTTTATACAGTACATCCCTTTAAGAACCCTTAAAATAATCCCAATATTACCATTTTACAGATTTGGAAATTGAGGAACAAAGAGGTCCATAGTCATGAAATTCATGAATGATGAACATAGAAGATTTACTAAATTCCAAAGTGCATCCTCATAATTGCTATGCTCTGTCATCTTTCCATTAAGTTGCATGGGTTAGAAAAATGGGAAATGCAGCAAATATTATAAAATTTGATATATGGAATACTTGGAGCCGAGTAGCAATTTTCCTGGAGTTATGTGCTTAGTTGGAGCTGATTTTAAAACCAGGGAGGGCTGGAAGTGTAGCACAGTGGTAGAGTGCTTGTCTACCACATGCAAGGACCTGGGTTTGATCTCAGGTATTGCATTAAACAAAACAAAAACAAACAAGGGAAAACAAGAGAAGAGGAAGTGAAAGCTTAATAGATAAGGGGACTGCAATGGGCATTTACCTAAATCTCAGTTTTCTCCTTTGTAAAATGGGATAATAGTTTGCCTAGGATCACCAGATGCTTGTGAATATCCAAGCAAGATGATGTATTTCAAAGTACCTCGCCACCCTTTTAAGAGATTATTATAAATCACCTGGGAGATCTTGCTCAAGCTCTTTCTCCTTGTGAATTCTTGCCTTCCAATTAAACATCTGGGCCTCTGTAGGAAATCCTCTAGCCATAACCCACAGCATTTACTAAGATACTGGGTGAGCTAGATGAAGAAACTGGAATGAGTGGGAAAAGTGATATGGCCTGTCTGCCACATTACAGTCCAGACGCCAGAAAATGCACTCCAGCCTGAGCCAGGCTGAAGCCGAAGGGAAAGTGTGCTTCCCCAGTCCCTGGCGTTTCTCCCCATCAATTGTTCTCAGGAAGACCCTCCTGGGTAGTCTTCAAACGCTCTCTGCCTGCTTAGATCTGGGCGGCTGAGGCACCGCGGGAGTTCAGAGATTTATGGGTGTGGCTCTAACTGCGTTCCCGAGCTTATTGCTCCTCCTAGCGTTGAGTGGTGAATCCTGCAACTGTCAACTTTCCTTTTGGCCAACTTCTGGTCCACATCCTCATAGTTTCTCCTTTTATGGGTGTGGGCTGAAAGCCCAGCAGGTAGAGGATTCCAGGGACAGGCAGTCCAAAATTCACCTTCAGAAATCAATTCTTTTGGCTCTTAATTAAATGTCGGGACCCGCTTGGTTATGATGGAGCTACGAAACCCTTATCTTAGCAATGGGGAAAGGTCCCAGAGGGATAGGGAAAGAAATCTAACATTAAGTGCCTACTGCATTAGATATCGTGCCAGGTTCTTTAAATATACGAATCAATAATCCTTATAATCTTTACATGTTTAATTCTCACAACCATCCTGAGAAATAATTATTATTGTAGTTTTTCAGGAGGGAAAGCAAGTTCAGAGAGGCAAGTATCTTGCTCAAGGTCATAAACAGTAACAATGATAATAATATCAACCAATTATTTAGTACCTACTTTGCATATCATTTCTTTTAATCCTACATTAACACTTTAAAGTCCATTGTGCTTATGAGGTTACTGAGATTTAGACAGCTTAAGAAAGGAATAACTAGTTAGGCGTGGTGGTGATCACCTGTACTTCCAGCTACTCAGTAGGCTGAGGCAGAAGAATAGTGAGTTTGAGGCCAGCACGGCAAATTAGCTAGACTCTGTCTCAAAAAATAAAAAGGACTGGGAGGAAATGTAGTTCAGTGGTAGAGCACATGTGGATTCAATCCCCAGTACAAAAAAAAAAAAAAAAGAAAAAGAAAAATAATGTGGTGGTGGGATATCTAAGAATGGTTCTTGTAGTAACAGAGCTAGGTCTTCCTGGCTCACTGTTCTCAATCCACTGTGGAGCTGATGGGTGATAGAGGTGGGACTCCAGCTCAGGCCAGTGTGACTCAGGGTTATTTCCATTGTTTGGGCTGCCTGACGGTCCTTCTCTGAGGACCAGGAAACTAGGGTCATGTGTTGCTTTGGATCTTCTGAGAAAGCCAAGGCAGAAGTCTATGTGATCCTGGGAACAATTTACTCAAGGAAACATGCAACCAGAGCAGCACTCTAGGAACTGGTACGTTACTGCTATCAGTGGCCAGAACCTGCAGTCTCTCTTGAATCATTCTGTTTGAAACTCACATGCTGCCCTGAGCTGGTGGACCAGGAAGG